ATATATACATATATATACATATACATACATACATATATATACACATATATACATATACATACATACTTACATATATATACATATACATATACATACATACTTACATATATATATACATATACATACATACATATATATATATATAAAGAGTGCTGAACATCCCGTGGACTGCCAAAAGTACAAACAGATACATCTTGGAGACAGTCCAGCCAGAGTGCTCCTTGGAGGTAGATTCCTCTCACATACTTTAGAAATCTGTAACTGGCTGTGATCAATTAGTTGGGGCCTCCACTGCACTCGGACCAGCCTCCTCTCACATACTTTAGATGTGTTGCTAGGAGAGGCTATTCCTTGAAGAGGGACTTCATGCTTGGCAAGGTAGAGGGATAGCAAAGGAGAGGAAGACCTTCCGCCAGGTGGGTTGACATGGTCACTGGAGCAACGGGCTTGAGTGTGTAGGAGATGGTATGGATGGCACAGGATAGATTAGGGCTCAGATCTGTTGTTCATGGGTTTGCCATGGGCAGTACTCAACTCAACAGAACCTAACAACAACAACAAGAAGATGGATTGAGACAGTGACTATAACAATGGACTGGAGTATGTTAAGGGAGCTCTGGTGGCCTAGTGGCAAGAAGCTGCACTGCAATCCCTAAGGCACGCAGTTTGAGGCCACCAGCTGCTCTGTGGGAGAAGGAGGGGCAATCTCTTCCCGTGCAATTAACTGTCTCTGAAAACCCACCGGATGGTCAGCTCTGGGTGGGTTCTGACTCGACGGTACACAACAACAACAGCACAGTAATTGTGTTAGAGATTGTGAGCACGCCACCGGAGAGGGTAAGATTCAGATCTGTTGTTCACAAAGTCACAGTGCACTCAATGGCATCTAAAAACACATATGTGCCACAACGAATGAATGGAAATCCTAAGTCTCTGTAAATTTTTACTGAAATTAATAATAAACTTAAATAAAACAAAAAAATGTTGAAAATAGACCAAAAAAAACACATATGAAAAAGCACTGACGCCGTGGTAACAAAGCAATAAATTTTTACTGAAGCAGACAGCCACCCCTTTCTCCTTCTGGTGGGTTCTAACAGCCAACCTTCTGGTTAGTATTCCAATGTTTATCCACTGCACCACTAGGGGATTTAAAAAAAATACCACTTGAGCCAATTCTGACTACGGCAACCCTGCAGGGGCTTTCTCAGGTGGTTAATCTTTACAGGCAGCAACTGCCTATCTTTCTCCACACAGCAGCTGGCGGATTCAAACCACTGACCTTTGGGTTAGCAGCCCAACACATAACTCACCAAGTGGACCCGGAGACAGCGGCGAGGTAGGTGACAGTGTCCAACAGGCTGTGTTCCTTCATCTCACTCAGAACGCCCAGACAGGCGATGTGGGCCCGCAGTCCCCCACCGGAGCACAGCACCGTGATGACCGGGGCCTGGGCAGGGAGAAGAGGCATCAGGGAAGCATCAAGATGCAGCATTGTAGGGGAGCTCTGGTGGCCTAGTGGCAAGAAGCTGCACTGCAATCCCAGAGGCACACGGTTCGAATCCACCAGATGCTCTGCCAGGGAAGGAGGGACAATCTCCTCCTGTACCAGTCAGATCTGATTTGACGGTACACAGACACACAAAATAATAATAAAATTTTAAAAAAAGATGCAGCATTGTGCAGCCAGAAAGCTTCTAAAGAGCAAGGAAGCTAAGACTTGACAGACGTCGGGCATGTTGTCAGGAGGGCCCTGCCCGTGGGGAAGGACATCATACTGGGAAAAGGAGAAGGTCAGCAAAAAAGAGGAGGAGCCTCAGTGACATGGACTGAAAACGTGGCTGCAAGAAATGGTCAAGCACAGCCGACTGTGAAGAGGGCTCAGGACGGGGCAGGGTTTTGCTCTGTTGGACATAGAATCACAGGAGTTGGAACCTAGTCAATATCACCAAACAACAACAACTAGCATGCAGTTGACAAAGATCAGGGACGCTGCTAAGCATCCTACAATACTACACAAGACTGTCCTCTACAACAAATAATTACCTTGCCCAGAATGACAGCAGTACCAAGGTTGAGAGCCCGGAGTCAACACAATGCCCATTCTAACGCCCTTTCCTATGCTTGATTCCACTACAGGAGCTGCAAAAGCTAAAGGTCCGCTTTCCCAGCATCCCATGATGTTAGAGGTGGCAAATGTAACTCACTGTGGTGTCAGAGACCTTGAAAATTGGCTTTGCTATTAGCTGCCATGGGAGCCATGGTCTCCAGCTCCCTCAACTGCAGACACATGGTCTTAAAAATCATCAACAAGAGGTATGCGGTTCAAATCCACCAGCTGCTCTGCTGGAGAAGGAGGGGGCAATCTTCTCCTGTACCAGTCAGATCTGATTTGACAGTACATGTAAAACTAATACAATAAAAATTTTTTAAAAAATCATCAACAGCTGTGGGACCAAGATAAGAGAGCACTTTCTACAATGTGAAAAAAAAATGGTGGTGGTGAAGAGACTGTGGCAGGTGGTAAAGAGACTGTGACACTGTTATGAAGATACTGTGGCAAGGTATAACCAGAGGCATCCTGGGAATGGGGTCACAGTTACTGGATAAATGAAGAAAAAGCTGACTTGTAACTGCTCTGAGATCGTTTGCTGGACGAGTGAGGAAACCAGGGGTTTATTTGTGCTGCCAGACTGAACCTATACTTTTACTTGCTGACTGAGAAGCTGCCTGAACTAATGGAGGAAGTATGTCATGCTGTTAATCTAGGTTGGACTGCTGGAGCAAACCTGGACTTGCATTGTATGATATTCTTTCCCTCTTCCATTCTCCAACCTATTTCCCTAATAAATCCCACAAGTGTGAGTAAAGTCTGTGGGCCAATTTGCAACAAACAGTTGCAGTGATTGGTAGAAATAGGTACAGGAGCATGTGGGGTGGCATATCTGACCATGTAGCTATTTGTATGATACCATGGATATTATTCATTGCAGATACATTTTTAAAAATTTTTTATTATTTTTGTGTGTGTGTGTGAGTGTACTGTCAAATCAGATCTGACTGGTACAGGAGGAGATTGTCCCTCCTTCCCCAGTAGAGCGTCTGGTGGATTCAAACCACGTGCCTCTGGGATTGTAGTTGCAGCTCCTTACCACTAGACCACCAGAGCTCCCCTGCAGATACATTTTTATAAATGGCAGCTATTCACTTGGATGCCACCTGACAGTCTACACAGGAATCAGATTGATCACATCTGTGGAATCATTGAAGAAGTTCAATATCAGTTGCGAAAACTAGGCTGGGTGCTGGTTGTGGAACAGACCATCAACTATTTCTATGCAAGTTCAAACTGAGACCATAGAAAATGAAACAAAATCCACAAGAACCAAAATATGACCTTGAGTCTATCTCACCTGAATTTAAAAACCATCTCAAGAACAGGTTTGAGGCCTTGGATACTAATGGACAAAAACCAGATGAACGGTGAAAGGATATCAAGAATATCAACCATGATGAATATAAGTTGTTATTACAAAGACAGAGGAGAAAGAAAAGACCAAGACGGACGGAAGAAGAGACTCTGAATATTGCACTAGAGTGCTGAGAAGCCAAAGCAAAGGGGAGAAATAAGGAAGTTAAGGAGCTGAGCAGAAGATTTCAAAGAGCAGCTTTGCAAAGTATTATTACAAAATGCGCAAAGAGATGGAGTCAGAATCAAAGGGAATAAAATCACTTGGAATTTCTTAAGCTGAAGGAATTGAAGAACACATTCAAGCCTCGAGTTGCAATACTTAAAGATGCTATGGACAGAATGTTGAATGATCCAGGAAGCGTTAAAAGAAGATGGAAAGAGTACACACAGTCACTACCAAAAAGAATTGGCTGACAGAGAAGAATTCCATGAAACAGCATATGGTCAAGAGGCAATGGTGATGAAGGAGGAAGATCAAGCTGCTCTGAAGGAATTGCCAAAAACAAGGCCCTAGGAATTGATGGAACACCAATTAACATATTTCAACAAGTACATGCTGCCCTGGACATGCTCACCAGGTTATGCCAAGAAATCTGGAGGACAACCACCTGACCAGCTGACTTGAAGAGATCCATATTTATTACCATTCCAAAAAAAGGGTGATCTGACAGAATGTGAAAATGATAGAACAATATCACTAATAGCACATGCAAGCAAAGATTATCCAAAAATGACGGGAACAGGGCATCAACAGAGAACCACCAGAAATATAAGCCAGGTTTAGAGGAGACTGTGGTACGAGGGGCATCACTGCCAATGTCTAAAGGAACTTGGCTGAAAGCAGAGAGCACCAGAGGGGTGTCTATCTGTGTTTCATTGACTACGCAAAGGCATCTGACTGTGTGGATCACAGCAAATTGTGGCTAAACTTGAGGGGAATGGGAATCAAGCCTACCTGACTGAGCTTACGCAAAACCTATACTTGGTTTAGGAGGCGGTCATCAGAACAGAGCAAGGAAACACTGCACGCACGGTTCAATATCAGGAAAGGAGTGCATCAGGGACGTGTCCTGTCTCCATACCTTTTCAATCTATATGCGGAACAGATCATTTGGGAGGCTGGTCCTTGTGAGGAGGAATGTGGCATCAGAATTGAAGAAACACTCATCAACAACTTGTGTTGTGCAAATAATACAACCTTGCTAGCTAAAACTGAAGAGGACCAGAAGCATCTTCTGCAGAAAGTCAAGGACTGCAGTATTCAACACGAATTGAAACTCAGCATCAAGAAAACAAAGATTCTCACCACTGGGCCATTTGTCAGTACCATGACAGACAAAGAAGAGATTGAGATTGTCAACAATTTCAGCTTGCTTGGATCTACAATCAACACTCTTGGAACCAGCTGCCAGCAAATCAAAAGACGAATTAGATTAGGAAAGTCTGTTGTCAGGGAACTCTCTACAGTGCTGAAGAGCAAAGATATCAGTCTAGAAACTAAGGTGCACCTGATCTAGGCCATGGTCTTCACAATTACTTGCTATACATCAGAGAGATGGACAATGGTAAGAATAACAGAAGAAAAAAAAATTGATGCCTTTGAGTTTTGGTGCTGGAAAAGAATCTTAAACATACCATAGATTACCAAAAGAATAAACAAGTCTGTCCTAGATAAGGTGAAACCAGCTTGCTGTCTGGAGGCAAAAATTTTGAAGCTCCATCTCACATACTTTGGTCATGTTGCCAGGAGGGACCAGTCTTTGGAGAAGGACATCATGCTTGGAAAGACAGAGGGACAACGCAGGAGAGAAAACCCCTGGATGAGACGGATTGACACAGTGACTGGGGTATTACGGGCAGGTGTACTGGAGACAGTGAGATTGGCTCAGGATAGGACAGAGTGTATAGGATCAGAATAGGATAGAGTTCAGAGCTATTGTGCATAGGATCTCTGTGAATTGCAAGTGCCATAACAGCAACAACAATAGATATTATTGATGAGGACAGTTCCCCTTTATGAAGCAGGCAGAAGTCAGACTAAGCTACCCCCATGCTGCTTACATACTCAATTGCCCAGACTCCTTTGCAGTTAGGGGTGGTCATGTGACACACTGTGGCTCATAACGTCTATGTACATATTCCCTGGAGGCTTCTGGGAAACTTTTTCTGTCCTTACTAAAAGCATAGGCCTTGCTCTCCCAAAGGCTTCCATGTGAAATAAAGACATGATGCCTGGAGCTACAGCAGCCATCTTGACACCATGAAGTCAGGAACAGCCAAGAAAACAATAAAAGAGCCTAGGACTTGAATGGTTACCACCAACACCTACTACAACCACAAGCCTCCTCAGACTTTTTTTTTTGCCTGTTTTTCTGTTTCATTCATTTCTTTTGATGATTTTGTCATGAGTTGAGTGAGAGCATGCAAAGCCAATTTTTTTCCACTTACGGACTCACACGTGTTTTGGGTTTTAGACATTCTCTACCACATCCACGATACAACTGCACTCTTCCCGCTTCATTCCTGTGGTTCCCATTTTCACTGGTCCTTCTCTCCTGCCCCTTCTTGTCTTCTGAGCCTTATCTCTGGGGAGGCTGGAACACATGGAGGTCTCCAGGGAGCTACCAATGCTGAAGAAAATAAGGACTTCCCTCCATAACCAAGAGAGAAGACAGAGCACTTGTTCTGAATTGGGGCTTGCAGCCTTCTCAACTGGAACAGAACAAACTTCTGTTTGTTAAAACCCTCCACTTGTGAGGCAGCTCTGGTGGCCTAGTGGTAAGAAGCTGCACTGCAATCCCGGAGGTATGCGGTTCGAATCCACCAGATGCTCTGCTGGAGCAGAAGGGGCAGTCTCCTCCTGTACCAGTCAGATCTGATTTGACAGTTGTTGTTGTTGTTGTTGTTATGTGCCGTTGAGTCGTTTGCGACTCATAGCGACCCTATGTACAACAGCCCTAAACCGTGCTCTATCCTGTGCCAATCTCATTGCCTCCAACACACCCATCCCGATTACCCCAGTCACTGAATCAATCCACCTCATAGAGGGTCTTCCCCTCCTGCTCTGTCTCTCTACTCTACCCAGCATGATGTCCCTCTCTAAGTACCTATCCCTCCTTACATGTCCAAAGTATGTCAGACAAAGCCCCAGAATCCTTGCCTCCAAGGAGCAGCCTGGTTTAACGCTCTCTAGGATGAATCTGTTTGTTTTTTTGGCAGTCCATGGTACATTCAATACTCTGTACATGCACAAAAACCAATTTTTTAAAAAAAATTAATTCACACCCACGTTTATCGCGGCTTTGTACACAATAGTAAGGAGCTGGAAACAACCCAAGTGCCCATCAACAAACAAATCGATAGAGAAGCTGTGGTATATTCACACAATGGAATATTATGCTCATTGAAAAACAAGGAGTTCATGCAATATTATACAAAATGGGTGACCCTGGAGGAGATTATGCTGAGTGAAATATCTCAGTCACAAAAGGACAAATACTACATAATGCCACTGTTGTAGAATGGAAGGGTTGGGGTAAGACTGAGAAAAACTGGATACATTATGTATACTGCATTGAAACAGATGAGTGAGAGAACAGTTTAAAAGCGATATATGATAGGGTATTATGGTTATCACAAGAGTCCAGAAGGAAGGTTGCATAGTGGAATGTACTCGGGACGCGGGGGGGGATTGTATACCAATGAAGGAATTTTTCTTTTACTTTTCAAAGAGAGGAGCAAACTAAGGGGAAGGGGTGGGCAGGGAGAGGTGCGAAATCCAAATCTCTGTAAATGTTCGTTAAAATTAATAAAAAAATAATAAGTAAAAAAAAATTAATAAAACTCTCGTCTTGTGGTGTGTCTGTTACAGCAGCATTAGATAATTAAGACAGGCCCGTGTGGGTTAATCTCTAGTTTGCTGTCTCTGTGAGCCTGGAAGCATAAGGTCATGCACCTCCCTCTCTCTCTTCCCTTCACTTTGGCTTTCCCTGGCTGAGCTGGGCCCCAGATGCTGGACACAGAGGAGACCACCCAGGGACCCCAAGGCCTCCTCTTTCCATACCTCATCAGCATCAATGCTGAGATTTCTCAGGGCCTTCTGCACCTCGAGGCTTCGCTTCTGCACAGCCAACTGTTCTTCTTGCTGGAGTCCAGGGATTATGAAAACCTCGGGACTTCTCAGGACAAAAACAAACAAAAAAACCCCACCAATGAATGAAGCGAATGTTGAACAACTTGGTGCATACAACCAACGCCAGAGAATCACACATGTGAGGACTGAGAAAGTGGCAAATGTAGTGTTTGACATATAAGCAACACACACACCTGAACACACATCCTCATACATGCACCCCAAAATGACAAATATGAACATTTATACACATGTATTGTTGTTACGTGTCAAATGAGAACTAACTCATAATTGACTCTCCAGAGGGTTTTCAGAGGCTGTAAATCTACTTGGGGTGGGGGGAGGGAGATTGCCCATCTTTCTCCCAAAAAAACAGCTGGTGGATTTGAACTGCAGGCCTTTGGAATGGCGATGCAGCTCCTTACCACTAGGCCACCAGAGCTCCCTCAAACACATATGCACTCCAGTCCATTGAGGATCTTCCTCTCCTTTGATGATACTCCACTTTTCATAATGAGAGCGTGAAAGAGAGGAGAGAGAGAGAGGAGAGGAGAGGAGAGGAGAGGAGAGGAGAGGAGAGGAGAGGAGAAGCGACAGACAGAGACAGAGACAGAGAGTACTATCCTATCGAATCAGATCCAACTGGCACAGGAGGAGACTGCCCCTCCTCCTACAGCAGAGCATTTGGTAGATTCGAACCGCGCTCCTTTGGGATCACAGCACATCACATTAACCTTTCACAGAGGCTGGTCACTCTGGCTAAATTGCCCAAAACAGAAGGGACATAGTCTCACTATCACCAGCTTTGCTTCTCAGGGGCACTCTGGCTACACTTCCTTCAAGACAGATTTGTTTGTTCTTTTTGGTGGGAGCCCAGGGGAATAATCCTGTTGGCAGAGCACATAACGTGCACACTGGGATGCTAATCTAGAGTTCAGCAGTTCAAGCTCACCTGCTGCTCCTCAGAGAAACACAGACAGATGAAAAAACGTTCCTAACCATTATATCCAAAAGAATCTGACACTCCAGGGAGCTCTGGTGGCCTAGTGGCAAGAAGCTGCACTGCATCTCCAGAGGTGTGCAGTTCAAATCCACCTAGATGCTCTGCTGGAGAAGGAGGGACAATCTCCTCCTGTACCAGTCAGATCTGATTTGATGGTACATGCACAAAAAATAACGAAATTTTTAAAAAATAAATTTTAATAAAAGAATCTGACAATCCAGCAACAACACACAAAATACATCTCGTTCCCTTTCTCTCTGTTCCCTTCTCGCCTTTCCTACCATTCTTTACCATTATTTCTCTTTCTCTCTGCCCACTTTGAAATATACACCACAGATGTATACACCGTATTTTTTTTTTATTTCCATTCACTCATTGTTGCACTTTTCTCCCTGCCCATCCCTCCCCTCCAGTTCATTCTTCTCTTTGAAAAGTAAAAGAAAAATTCTTTCATTGTTATACAATCCCTCCGCCCCAAAACCATAATCACTTTTACATGTACGATTCAGTGATATTGATCAGGTGCAATCACTCTCTGTGTTGTTGTGTGAGTTGGAACCGACTCATAGCTGACCCCCCAGCAGATTTTCAGAGGTATACATCTCATGGGAAGAGATTGCCCATCCTTCTCCGTCAGAGCAGTTGGTAGGGTCGAACAAGTGCCTCCGGCATTGCAGCGCAGTTTCTTACCACCAGGCTGCCAGAACTCCCTAAATCATTCCACCATCATGAACTTAAAGCTCACTGCTCCCTGATCTTCCCATAGAACCTTTCAAATTGCCATCACCAGTCTGTTGTCTCAAATGTAGTCCTTTAAAAGGGCCTAATGCTCAGGGCAGAAATGCTTTACTGGGGATCCAAGATGGCAGCGGAGGCAGAGACAGCGTGGTGAGCTGCGGGAGCAGCGAACCACTTAAAGCAGGGCCACTATGAACTTCTACAGACTTCAACTTGTTGATAATTGAACAGTTAAACAGTTGATGACTGGCCCTCAGTGAAGATCGAGGCTCAACAACAGGAATTCAAGGATTCCCAAGGAGGAATGGGTAACCTTAACACTGAGTTTTACTCCAGAATTGACCCTGAACCCAGTGCCTGTGACTAAAAGGAAATACAACTGACAGCTAAGGAAGCAAA